GGTTCCGTCGTGACCACACCGTTCTCTACAAGAGTTATGTTACTTAGTTTATTTATGCCAGAGTTAGGAAGAAGAGGCTTCATTTTCTTCCAAAATTTACCAGGAATCGTTGGTTAAAATACTTCTGCCTCTTGATTTTTATGGGGACAAAATTGTCCAATAAATTTTATTTTCGGTTTGAACCAAAAGGGGCACTATTTAACCAGTCTGATCCATGAATTCTACGAGTAAAAAAGTCTCTTTCACCGCGGCTGGTCACTTGCATGATCACGGCTGCGGGAAACGAGTTTTTCAAACCACGCGCAAGCACACACCACCATGGCGTGATGCGCAGCCCGCGTGTGCATTGGCAATACCAGGCACCGTCCTTTTCGTCTGGTGTGGTCAAAAGTTATTTAAATTTAAGTACGAACAGTCTAAAAACATCGTTTCGACCTTTGACATGATCTGAAGGGTTTCTTAAGGGAGGTCAAGGTTATGATCGAGATCAGTTCCTCCTGAGAGGCTTTGAAATCCTCTAAATATTATTTCAGATAAACTTACCTAACTTTTCATTAAATTTCTGAAACTGATCTTTGACATCTATCTTTACTTGTTGGAGTTGATCTTTCAGATGCTCAACTGAGCCTTTAACATCCATGTCTTTCTTGTACCACAATTCAAGTTCTTCGACGCAACTTTGTGCCTCTGGAGTCAGGGGGTCAGTTAGCAGTCTACCGATAGACTTTTCCCATTCATCTGTCTTCAAGGGGCCGAGGTTTCCAGCGATTCTCAGGAGAGCCTCACTAACCTCCTTCCATAGATAACAAAACTCGGAGTCCGAGATTTCCATTTTCTGGTTGTGGCCGTATATGGAATTACGGTAGAATTTTATCCGCGCAAGATCTGCCTCAAGACTAAGGTCTGAGGTAACTGGCAAACTGTCCCATCCGGTGACAGGAGTTGTAAGATTGCATATCGTTCTTAACAATCTAAAAGTCAAAGTAATGTCAAAATCGGTTGACTTTCCAAAGGTACCAGGGGACGGATAGAGGCAGCTCCTCTCTGCCGTGGAAAGCTTTGCTTTGTTCAGCTGTGACCGTATCGCAGGGTCGCCGAGCTTTAATGGAAGGTCTTTTGGCAAATGAATGGTGTCAAATATTTCCCGTAGGAGCCTGACACCTCCACACATCAAAAGTCGGGTTAAACGCTGAAAATTTTCCTTTCCAAATGTTGAGCGCAAAGTCTCTCCTGCATCAGTGGCAGAAGCCATTTTAATGACGTTTATCAAAAGTAACCTTTCCTGCAAGATAAGGTCAGCGTGTGTTATTTAAATACATCGTTTTAGGCTTGTCCAGTATTGCCCTGTTTTCTTGGTCAGGTGCATTGCTCGAGGGATTTTCTTTCACCAAAATTAGACTCTTTCTACCCGTAAATCGACACGCACTAACCCTGAAAAGAAATTGCGTGTCATCCACACTAAATTACCTTAATCCAACAGCGATGAACAGGTATTTTTAAAAATCGTCTAAAATATGATTGGGGAAGAAGGGCGTGGTTGCCTCATGCGTTGTGCCGATGATACACTTACGTATATGAATTGTGAGCGTGAAATTTTTACATTTTCCTTCAGGGTTGATTGAACGATCACTAGGAAGTGAAGTGAACTTGGCCGGTCTTAGCCGTAAAAGTCCGTACACGTCATGAAATTCAATTAAGAAAAAGGATAGCACCGCGTTCCCGCGCAAAACTGAAAACAAACCTTCCAAACGCTTTTTAAATTACATATTATGAATCCTTGGTGGTTAAATTGTAAGTGCCATCTTTGACTATTACCGCAGCGAAGGGCTGTAGAGAGAGCGGTATAGGCGGCAGTCAGAAGGGCGGAGAGGGTAGGTGGTGGGGTTATAAAAATAACGCCTGCCTGAAGTAATTTTTCATTGTGGGAAACTCCGTTCCCCAACGAACAGAATTTCTGATTGGTGCAGGTAAGCTCTATCTATCAATCACAGGCCAATTGAAAAGAACTGCTGGCGGTTTTTTAATTGCTTTTGGGAAAAGCTTGACATTCCAGATGCTGGTTCGCAACAAGCAAGTCATGATGGATTGACGGGTAAACCATCCAGCGCAGTTGCGGTTGTTCGCTCCAAAGTACCGCCGTTTGCGATCAAATCAAAGATATAGGGTGCGACAAATATCAGCTCATATTTTCATCCGCAGAGGAAGTCTTGTCGAAGGCATTTCTTCCCTTCCCGCTGACGAAGGGTTAACGCTCAAGACATCAGCTTTGAAACTCTTTACGGTGGCCAATTTACATAATCAACTCAGTTGATAAAACCAAATTACCTTGTTACCCCCAATGACGCACCACCACAGTTTGTTTAGAAACTTACCCCCTCAATCAATTTCTTCCTAATTATTGTTTGGTCTTATCACGCAACGTGCTCTCTTCCTTACCACCGCGCTGTGTGACGAGGCTGCGTTGGCAACTACTTTTTTCCTCACTGGAAAAAACTGTCTTACGGTTTCACTCACTGGCTCTATGTGTGATTGTTTGGTTCAAAAGACTGTGCCTCCGGCTTGTAGATGAACTCGTTTTGATCGGTTACCCGCTCATTTCCGGAAATGCAATGGCCTACCACTTATTAAAGGGTGCCATTTAACAGCCTTCTTCACGGCTTACCCCACCTTCCCTCCCACCTAACTCAATATCAAACCTAAACGGTCACAAGCTTTAATCATGGTTAACTAGTTGGGCCCTTATAAGACACCTACACTGCAGTTTAATCAACTGACCAACCATATCTTTTACTGAAGATTCTTTCTCATCACTCTATCAGTTTAGTGAGGATTTTAAGATATCTTAAGAAGTACAATATGGGCTCAGAGTTGACTACAAGTTTCAGAAATTTTAACGCAGCCATGCTGCTTTTCCAACTGGACCTTAATAGAAGGCGTAGCTGCTATGGTCGTAAGTTACTACATACCACGGTGAGGTCAAATTCTTGAACTTTCGCGTTCACGATAGGAAAGGAAACACAGATATTAGCTGAATAGTTAGTGATGACATTTTCACCAACCTTTCCCAAGTTTGAAATTGGCGTAAAATCAACCATGAATGACATATTAACAAAGAATTGTGAGCTCTCTAGCCAGCGTAATGGTTCATGTCCTTCGAGAGGACTTCGTCGTCAAAACAGTCGAGGTTTTGAAAGGTCGTCTAGGGTCGTCTTTGAAAGGTCGTCCTCCTTTTATTTAGAAATTAAAACGTGTTTTTGGTACCACTCCTCCACTTACAACGCACATGCAGTCAGCTTAAGGCTTGATACTAAAGTATAACTGGAGCTTTTACTTCAAGGGCTAGTTTTGCTGACTCAGAAAAAAATTGCGTCAAGAATTTGCATAAAGAACATTTAATCGACAATCTCGTTTATGCCCTATGATTGCTCTTTTAGCGAAGGTTGAAAAGATCAGCAAGCTATACTGGTTACTTTCTGTGTCGACTGCTTGGTTAAATATCCGCTTGTTTGCTTTTAAAAGCTCTCCATTGATCACATCTCGTGTTTTGACCGTATTTTTTCGATACAATTACGGGTTTACTTGTCACTGTTAATTGCACTTTCTCAGACAAATGCCATTTTTCCAATTAAACAACCTAAATTTGCGACATAATCCCACCCCGCTTAAAAAAAAATTTCACAAGAAAGTGAATGCTACTGTTGGTCCATTTTCCACGCAATTCGCACGTACTTAGACGTTTTCTACCGATCCAAAAAAAAAAGAAACACAAACCTACATTTTTTCAGGTATTCCGTACGCACGGGGCAAAGTACAGATAGGCAACAACCAAATAAGGTTCTCACGTTGTTATGACTACATGAAAGCCTTTGAAATATGATACTTTTCTCATCGTTTCATTTATTTACACTTGTTCCGAGAACGAGGACCAACAAAATACCTTCGGTAAGAGGCTATTGGATATAAAATAGAGTTCTTTTTTGCCTTCTACAGCAAAATTGTGTGTAAGAATATTTTTTAGGCAACCCGCTGTATCAGAATAATTTTGATTTTGTCCTTGGCGAAGGAGCAGCAGTAAACACACTCTTAGCCTCCAGGCATGCCTTATTTGGTCTCGTCACGCAACGGGGGGAGAAAGCGCGTTGTGTGACGAGATCAGACAACAGCTGTGAAGGAGACTTTAGGAAGCATGGCACAAATATACTTTATTTTTGCGAACAATTATTCAGACACCTGAGGCAATACAATAAAATACGTGTGTCTGGGTTTATTTCAAATAATTGGAAGGATTTTATTGGCTCTCCATTTCACGATATTTTCATTCACTATTGAAATTTTCTGAGAGTAAACGCTCCCTTTCTTTTACAAAAATGAAAACATTAGTTACCAAGAGTCCCAGTTCAAAGCATCCATCCAAAGAAAAAAAACTCTTGGATGCTTTGCATGCCTATGTTTTTTTAATGGCCAGGTTTGCCACCGCGTTACACTGTCACGACTCCATAGGCAAATTTTGTTCGATTCGAAAGGTTGATACCTCGATGACGGTGGACTTCGAGGTATCTTCATGAATTTTTCACTTACTTTAAAAAAAAGCACCATCGTGCAAGTGGGTAGAGATTTTACGACAACTTAATCTTTGAAATGGTTTTAAATAGACCCTTCCACGGTTTTATCGGCCATATTGGTTGGGGGTCAAACAAAACCTCGTTGCGTAGCAACGAGCCATAGAATCTCTTATGATAAGAAGACGCGCATCGCTCCCCTCGATTAAATTTCCCTTTGTTCAGGAACAAAAATTAATATTCATCGCTGAAAAAGAGAAGACATCAATAAAGGCGAGTGACTTTTTCTCCTCTCGGCGAAAAACCTTTTCTTCTCTGCGTTTTATGGGAACATTGAGATCGTTTTTCTTTGGACGTGACCTCGCGGCCGACATAATGCCAGAAGGTCAGAGTACAGCTTTTCCGAATGACTTTTTGTATTTAAGTAACTTAATTGTGCAGAGGAAAAATTGAAATAAATGTGTTTAC